AGCAGTAGTTGTTACTCCTGAGTTTAGGCCAAGGGGAAAAGGAATGACAATACCAGAAACGGAGCCCTGTATGAGAAAATAAGTATGCACTTGCAGGATGGCAGGCATATGAACATGCTAAATAATTTCATCCTGTGTTGGATGATACAAGACATGCTTCCACCATTTACTTGGAAGTCAAAGCTGTTCCTTTTGAAATGTTTGTGCATTGCTTTGTAGAGAGATGCATGCAAAAGAAAGCTTCTAGCAGTATTTTGGGAGCCTGCACCTCTTGTCACCGAGCAACAACAAAGGCATTACTCTCTGACACATTAAAAACAAAGGTGTGAATCCTAAGGGCACACCGTGTTCAGTCAAAATAAATGCAGGAAGCAGCTATGAATTAACTTAATCAAGCATTCCTGTCTAGGGCTGCTTGGTGCAGCCCACTAAAAATAAACACAAAGGCAAATCCACCTGTTCCTGCACTACTGCCAGGGTCTGTCTTTCTCATTTCCCTGCAGTGGCGAGTGCACTCCGCATCTCCATTGGAGATGTGGAGCACTTTCAGTAACTCCTCCGAGTAGGTTGCATTCTCATTTCCCAAAATTCAGAAAGAAGAGAGTTATCTGATCTCATAACTCTACATGATGTAACTATAATGTGCTGAATTGCAGTGCCAAATCCAGAGCACAGAGTAGGGCTGAGCGACAAAGGTTCAGAACGAAAGCCAATTTCTTTATGAATTAAATGCTGCAGTGCTGAAATAGCAGTAAGTGTTCCAACGCAGGAATACTGACAGCACATATATTATGTAAAACAATAAAAGGGTATATCATATGAACACTAAAGGAAGAGTTTCAACGTATCAGCTTTGCAGACAGCTATTGCTATGAAGGAAAATCACTGTAAAATCTCAGCTTTAAAAAATATTGGTCTAAGGTAGCAATACTTGGGCTACATCCAACATCCTGTCAACGGGCTTTGGTTAATTCAACAGGCCTTCCTCTTACTTTCTTCTGCTTTGTATCTCTGGCATGCCCCACTCCCCAATATTCTGGGAGTGTTTCCCTAACCTTCTGGAGTATGGGAAGGAAGTTACAAGGGGTACTAGAATCCAGTTTTCAACCATTGTTCTATTGATGTCTTTACCACTAGAAAATGTACTCCAAAGCACTGGTCCCCAAGCGTGGGCCTCCAGATGGTCTTGGACTACAACTCCCAGAAGCCTTCACCACTACCTCTGCTGGCCAAGATTTCTGGGAGTTGAGTTCCAAGAGCATCTGGAGGCCCAAGGTTGGGGACCACTGCTCCAAAGGATGCAATTCTCTGTGTTCACCTGATATAAAACAACAAGGTAAGAAAATGCACAGAAATAGGAATAATAAAAGAACATGTGGCTAAACAAATGCTACCAAACTTGTTAAGAAAACAAAATTTCTAAGGATGTGAGATACCAAAGCAAAACTACATCTCAGGGTCACAGACATACATACTTATACATATTACTCCTAAGTTGTGTTAGAGATAGACATAAGGACAGCAGGACAGAATTTCATATTTCAATGTCCTTGAAATTTATTGATCAAAATCCTGTTGCTTAGTTATGCCTGTGAAAAGCAAATGGTGTAACTTGCAGCACCTTCCTCCTGGCAATTAACACATCTCGTGATTTGATTTTTGGGTGCATGCCAAGCCAGTGGGCAGACAGGCGCCTAAAAATCCAAGTAGACTTTCATTTGTTGCCACGGGAAGCTGCTTAAAGTTATGCCAGTTGCATTCTGCAGGTATAACTATGCAACATGTTTTGGGTCTGTTATGCCATTCTTAAAACAATTTTGAAATAGAATGAAAATTGGAATTTTGTTTCACTGGCTCAGTGTCATTGGGCAAAACAATGAACAGCAGAGGTTTTAGATGTTTAACATCCCAAAAGAAAGAATACCAATACATATACATATTTAGAGTTTTAGTCTGAATTCTATAGCACAAGCCTAAAGTGAGATCCAGAACCATCATCAGGCATATCCATTTTCTTCATGAAGCCTAATACTGGATATCCAGCAGCACAAACCAAGCAAGTACTATGCCTCCACCTTTGTGCTGTATTGGAATACTCAACTGCTCTTGCTCAGATCCCTGACTGTTAACATTGCCTTTGATTCAAATATTTACAATATCATACTTATCCCACACCTTCATTACAGTTAATGCTTATGGACAATATAAGTAGCAATATTGCTGAGACAAATATCACTAGAAAGATCCTCTGCATGGTGACTGAAATACTAAATCACTACATGAACTCAACCTTCCAGCAAATTACAACAAATATTACTTTATTCTTTGGAAGAATGATTTTTAAAAAAAAATCCCCCCTAGTACTCAAAAGAGGGGTTGCCCAAGCTAGAGATGTGGAGCAGTAATCTGCTACCTCCAAAGAAAGGGTAGAAGGAACAAACACAGAAACTATGGAGGATCACAGGATCTGAGAAAATGCTTCACACATTTAAAACAGGCAATGAACAAAACAGACACAAACAAAACTTGTATGTAACAAATCCCATCATATCAGTCACTTGTTTGAGCACTTTCTAATTCTACAGCATGTGAAAGATCTACTGTATGAAAGTTCTATAACTCTCTGCTTCCAACTCTTAGATTAATGCTCTTCTGCTGAAAACCAGTATTCGGAATAAGACGCAAGTAAGAAGCTGCTCTCACTTTGTGCAAATGTACTTCATAATGTAATCTAACAATCTCTGTTATTTTAGCCATTTTTGTGAGTATTCAAAGAAAATAATCCCATGTTTCTACTTACTCCTTTTTTTAAAACTGTCAGCCAGGGAGGATAATTAGCCTCCAGATGATTGTGTTGGAAATGTTTTTTCAATAGTCCATTCAAGTGCCCCATTGTGAGCATGCTGCCATTCTGCTGAAACAGCCTTGCAGAACATTCATGACTGAAATGGCTAATTTGATTTGCCATACTCAGAATAAGGAAAAGGTGGCAAAGGAATGTTTGGCTATCAACATGTCTGGATTCGAGGTCACTTTAAATTTTAGTGAGGTGCATTAAAAACAGGGGAAAGAAAGTTCAAGGGATGCTTTACAGAATCTGGAGAGATGGACATGTAGCTTTGTTTCATCTCACTGCTAACCACAAACTAGTTTTGAAACTGGCAAATGGAGGGGTTCTGCACACACACCATTGTTTTAACAATAATGACTGAGTCCCTGAAGGCCCTTTTTCTTTAGTTAAGATAGTTTTAAACATTTTAACAATTTTTAAGCAATGTATTTAATAAGTTTTATAGCTGATTTGTTTTTTTAAAGTATAACTCATTGTGTTTTTTATTTTATTCTTTTTAATACTGTGAGCCACCTAAAGTTGAGAGAAAGGCAAACTATAAATGTGATAATCGATCAATCAACCCTTTGCACACATTTAGATTTTTCCTTATTACAGCCACAAAATGAAGCCTCTATGCACACAATACCATCTACTGTGTAAGCTCTCTGACTGGTTTCTACTTGACTCCTGATTGTTTAAGAATAACTACCTCAAACAGACATCCCCCTCTCAATTTTTGGAACTTTTCCAAATTAAGGCACTTTTCATTTTCTTACGCTGTTTCCCCAAAAATAAGATCTAACTTGAAAATAAGCCCTAGTATGATTTTTCAGGATGCTCGTAATATAAGCCCTACCCCCAAAATAAGCCCCAGTTAAGTTAAACCCCGCCCTCCACCATTGTGCAGCAATCAGAAGAAGATGACATGACTGTATTTGAATAAATGTAGATTGTTGTACATGGAAAAAAAATCCCCTGAAAAAGCCCTAATGTGTTTTTTTTTTTTTGAGCAAAAATTAATATAAAACCCTGTCTTATTTTCAGGGGAACACGATACTATAGGTATAAGGTAGTATGGTCAGGTTTGGGTGCTCTATTCTCCACTGGCTTTCTGCTTTGTCTGCTAGAGGAAGAAATTAAAAGCTTCTCCTTTCAGTTATAAACTAGCCATGTTTCACTGTAATTTCCAAACCTGAGGAACGATAGCTTATGCCTAAAATTTTAGGTAGTGAGAAAAAAAAACTTTAGATAACAGTTCCTGATTTGAATTTGGTATCACTAAGTAAGATTTGAAGAAATCACAGTTTTGCAAACATAGTCATCATATCAGCCTGCAGAAAGCTTCTATCTCTTTGTTTTTGTGAAGAAGTAAATTGAGTATTTATTTATTTATTTATTTATTTATTTATTTATTCATTTATTCATTCATTCATTCATTCATTCATTCATTTATACCCCGCCCATCTAGACAGATATTCTACTCTGGGCGGCATAATAAAGTTTAAAAACAATAACATACGAAAATCCAAGATGTACAAATGTAGATATTAAAATACAGCAGGAGGGAAAGCCTGTCTAAATAGTACAAACTGATGGCTGAACCAATAACACACGAAAATCCAAGATGTACAAATATAATTATAATTATATAGTACAAACTGATGGCTTATGTTTGGGACAGAAACCTGTGTTCCATGGGTCTTGTGCATGCTCAGTTCTTCCTGGGCTGTTTCAGGGAGAGTTGTTCCCTTTTCTTAACTTCTGGCACTTATGCAAACATTACAGTTCCCCTAAGCCAGTGGTTCCCAACCTTGGGTTCCCTGAAGTTCGTGGACTAAAACTCCCAGAAGCCTTCACCACTAACAGTGCTGGACAAGATTTCTGGGAGTTGTAGTCCAGTAAGTTGGGAAGCCATGCCCCTTTGTACAGTATATGAATGGCTATACAAGTGGGGAGAACACATTCATCCCCAGATGGGAAATAGAATACATAGTGATTCCACTACATGACTCAAGATGTACATTAGGTTGTACTCTTAGCCACCATCCTGTATCAGGATGGAGGTCTCTGCATTCTAGAAAGAGCAAACCAGATGTTGTTATTGTGAAATCTGTGCACCCATTCGTACTTTTTACTTGCAAATACAGATGTAGAAAATATGGCTTACAGTTCGGTCACATCTCTGGGGACACCTTTTGGCAGCAAGCGCAGTCCTTTGTTACTGCAGCGTACTACGGAATCTACACAGGTACATTGGTCTGGACAACGGGGGGAGAAATGACAGCTGCTTTCAGGATTGCCTAGAGAGAGAAAGAAAGAATTGAAGAATTATAAAATAATTTCAAACAGAGATGGAGGCAAGTTTAATTTTAACAGACGTGCTCACTTCATGCAAAACCATGCTTCCACACATCATCAGAGCATGGAAATTTTTTTTTGAGCAGCCACTCTGAGGGTTACAGTACTGGCACACAGAATGCTATGATTTCTTCAACTGTCTTCTCAACACCATCACAAATTATATTTGGAAAAAGTACATGTGGTGTTCTAATTCCCATGCCAATAAGAACGTGTCTCCAGCAAGCAAGATTTAAACTCATAAACCAAGGGAGTTACAGTACATGCAAGTGTGCGGAGGGGGGGGGGAGCCTCAAAGATGGAAGTGAAGTTTTCGGCTACATTTTTACAAAATAAAAGCAGCAGAAATACTGATAAATATAATAAGGGTGTTTTCAACACAACAGCACACCAGCTTTCCTTGGGACGTGTGGGATCACTTTCCCTGTTGATTTTCAGACAGGGATAACTGGGGCATGTTGTTGAGAAAGGCAGAGTGGTGACCTCTGGAGGTACCTCTAAGGCTACAGTCTCTACCACTCCATTATTGAGCCTTGATTCATGAGCACATGTGTATAACTTGGTTTCTTTAAACAGTCCCTTTTGTGACAACTGGCTCCTAAAATCTGGCTCTCTGGAAAATGGCACTTAAGGTGATCCGAAGTAACATGAAAATTTCATTCATTCTGAGTCTATTAATTGAGCATTACAGATATGTGAACCACCATGGGACTCTTCCTTTTCCTGTTTATTGTTTCGGTGAAAAAGAGCTTGAACATATAATTTGTTGCCGACTGTGGTAAACACTCTTTAGTTTAAGAGAAGACATTTAATATTTATATCACACATTCCTTAATTCCTCAAATTGTAAGACTTGTTGCTTTGAACAAGCATAATGAGAATTAGGAACCAGATCAGCTATGCAATCATCAAGAGCTAGAGGCTCCATGTGCGCATGCATAAGAATATCTAATATTTCTAACAAGGGTGTTGATTTGTATAAAGCAGATTTGGTAAAGCAGATTAAACTTCATAATTGGAGAGCAAGAGGGTTACTGTTACAAAACTAAGCCTTTGAAGTTAAGAACATTAAAGCATGGATTGATCCCAAAACCAATATGTGGCTTCACAAAGCATTTTTGGGGGGGGGGGGCAAACACCAATATCCAAACATATGTCTAGAAACATTGTGTAGCTTATACTTTAAATTGGGGCAATAAAAGAAAAAAAAAGTTCACAGTCTGAACAAGGCTCTGTTGAACACTGCAACAGAAAAGCTGGCCTTTGATTATTATTCCCGTAATGGATTGTAATTGTTTTCAGGCATGCAAAAGAGTGAACAATTTAAACTGTTCTCCCCTGCCCTCTCAGAAACACTGGGATCATAGATATCCCTTCAGTGTTGAACAAAGCACAGTTCTGTACTTAGTCCCTGATGTATAGGACCGGTTAAAAAAAATCCTCAAACAGCTTAAACTATGCCTGCAAATGAGGTTTCCAATTGGAAAGTTATATAGAGAATAAAATAAGGATTTTAAAATGATAAAAAAATAACATTTTAGTAACCCTCCCTCATTATCTAGTGCAGCCATTTTGAATTCTGATTCCAACTCTTTCATTTGAAGAGCTGTAATATTCTTCCTTATAGAGTATGATCAAGATTATTCCCTTATCTTGGCCAAACTTTCATGTAATATCTATGATTCTTCTGGTATTTTTTAGAATGGTCATCACTGAATATTAGAAATCTCATTAGCTGGCACCATGAAATCCCCCAGCAAATAATTCATTTATAACAACTGGAGCAGAAAGTGGGGATGAGGAAGATTTTTACATATTAATCCAAATAAGTTGGACATGAAAGAGGAAAATATTTGAAATTATATTAACAAAGAACATGAATTCATGGATGCAGTGGACTCTGAGTTGATAATGCCACCCTGACAAGGTACACATTGCAGGTTGTTTTGGCTATAACTGGTAGTTCTGATTATACAGTACTTCAAATTCCACCAAGAACTTCACTATATGGTTTCCAGGAACTGTGCTTACCATCACAAGTGAAGTCCTGTATAGCTACATCCTGAATTGGAATCTCCTTCAAGAAAAATGGTTTCTGGCAGCGTGGATTTCCACTGACAATCCTCCTCTTCCTTAGCCATTTCCCCAGCCAGGCCAAGTGGCAGTTGCAGTTAAATGGATTAGACAGCAAATTACTGGATGGGAAATGAAGAAAAATGGGCTGTTAGTTCCTGAAAAAGTCAGAGGATGGATCTTTCGAAGGCAAATTGACACTCATGCAAATACATTCTGGTAACCCATCTGTGTTAGAGAAAGGAAGCTGTATGTTCAATATTTGCATTTCTTTTTCAAACACAAAAGGCCTGAGCAGGAAACCACTGAGCAGCGACCCAATGGTTTTAGATTTCTCTTTTCTTTAGCAGACACAGGCAAATCATAGTCTTCAGACCTTGAATCTACTTGTAACATGGTCTTAACAGAGGGTCATTTTGAGCTAAGGATGCAAGAGAATTAAGAGAGCCATGCTGGATCAGACTAAAAGTCTATCTAGCCCAATAATAATAATAATAATATGTTTACACAACAGCCAATCCATTGCCTGTGAGGAGGCTGAAAGGAGGATAGGAGTGCAGCTCATGCTCCCCAGTAACTGGTACACAAGTTAATCGTTCCTATGTCACCGGAGATGCTGTCATTTCTAAGGCAGCACCTTCACATTTAGAAGCAAAGCTTCCTTGAGAGACAAAGGAGATTGGTTTATTACAAAATTATTGTTGTTGTTTAGTCGTTTAGTCATGTCCGACTCTTCATGACCCCATAGACCAGAGCACGCCAAGCCCTCCTGTCTTCCACTGCTTCCCGGAGTTGGGTCAAATTCATGTTGGTAGTTTCAATAACACTGTCCAGCCATCTCATCCTCGGTCGTCCACTTCTCCTCTTGCCTTCACACTTTCCCAGCACCAGGGTCTTTTCCAGGGAGTCTTCTCTTCTCATGAGATGGCCAAAGTATTGGAGCCTCAGCTTCAGGATCTGTTCTTCCAGTGAGCACTCAGGGTTGATTTCCTTCAGAATGGATAGGTTTGTTCTCTTTGCAGTCCAGGGGACCCTCAAGAGTCTCCTCCACCACCACAATTCAAAAGCATCAATTCTTTGGCAGTCGGCCTTCTTTATGGTTCAGCTCTCACTGCCATACATCACTACTGGAAAAACCATAGATTTGACTATGCGGACCTTTGTCAGCAAGGTGATGTCTCTGCTTTTAAAAAAGCTCTCTAGGTTTGTCATCGCTTTCCTCCCAAGAAGCAGCCATCTTTTAATTTTGTGGCTGCTGTCACCATCTGCAATGATCATGGAGCCCAAGAAAGTAAAATCTGTCACTGCCTCCTTATCTTCCCCTTCTATTTGCCAGGAGGTGATGGGAGCAGTGGCCCATTCCAAAATTGGGTGTCCATAGTTTCACAAGATGGATGTTTCATCAGCTTTTCACTGCACAGCTCTCCTATAGTTTGGCTCTGCTACTAGAGGGCTGATCCAGACAAGACACAAGAGATCTACGAATGGGATCACTTTTATTACAGAATACATACTGAATAAGCAAGCAAGCAGTTACAAGTGTGTTTAGCTTGGATTATGACTGCAGCACTGACCAAAAAAGGACTTCATTTCTCATTTCTGCAATTTAAATCATCTCCGAAGCTTTGTCCCAGGATACAAATACAGATACCAATTTATTCTTCAATACATGGATTAAATAATCACTTCAATACAGCTTTAGTTCAGGAATTCAAGCTAACAAATCATGTGAAGAAATATATGGACTGATAGTGTACAAAAGTCTTCCAAATCCTTTTTGGCTAGCACAGCATTTTTATATTAGTAAAATTGGTTGTTCACATCATATATCAAAAGCATAACGGAAATGTGCCATCAAATAAGGTTAAGAGCAGCAAGTAAGAGATTTTTTTTTAAAAAAAAAAAACACCTCTCAAAGGTGTAACTTCACTACCAGAGTTCAAACTCAGCCCTGTGATATATATTAATGCACAAAACTTCAGTGACATTTTTATTGCCAGTGGTGGGAAGTAAGGGATCAGTGTACAGCCATACTAAGATTCTGAGGCTCTAATGGTTATATGAAGATAAGCTCATAGACATCACAAGTGCAAAGTGTAATTGTCAGGCTCAAAAGCCACAAAGCAAAAACAAAAAGCGGACCGGGTACCAAGATTTCAAATCTCAGATGGTTTAAAATCCATCATTTCAAGGAGAGGAGTAATTCCTTTGCCAGTTCATGGACTTTCTTCACGCTACTAAGTGGTTACAGAAGAGTCACATGGGAATTTTTTAAAACCCCACAACTGTATATGAGGTAAAATCACAGCTAGGAAGGAAAGGATGCCTGCCTCCCTCAAAAGAGCAAAAGCAGAGTTGACTTCTGCGAACATGGGTGTGTGTGTGTCAAATTGTGCAACCAATTCCACCTGTTTTGCCTGCTTTCCATTGTATGCCAGCTACAGTCAGGCTACAGAACAGGCTGAGTGATGAGGTGTAACGCAAACAGCTGATGGCAGGTGGCTTCTCTGTCTGCATGGGAATTTTTGTAGTAGGGTTCTTCTGGCCAAAAGGGGAAAAATGCTGGCAGCATTTTTAAAGTAAAGTAATGGGTAATTTGAACCAGAGATGTACCACTTATTTTGGAGTTTGTAAAGCAACCCTTAAATGGTTGTGGGTTTTTCGGGCTCTTTGGCCGTGTTCTGAAGGTTGTTCTTCCTAACGTTTTGCCAGTCTCTGTGGCCGGCATCTTCAGAGGACAACCCTTAAACCAATGCGTCTTTCTAGGCTGACACTGAAATATTTCATTCAACTCAGATATATTGTATTAATTGAAATATCTCAGTAGACCTAATATACTATAAATGAAATGAAATCATATAGCTTAAGCCAAAGTATCCCACAAAGATTGGATGGTTGCTTTATTATTTTTTTTAAAAAAAATTCTTTGTTTTGTCAAAATTTGTCCCCTTAGCACAAAATAACGTACTGCTATTCCTAGAAGCCTCCAGAAACTGTCTTTTCAGATAAGTCACAGGACGTCCTTGTTCTATTTTAATATTAATAAAATTATTGTTTTCCCAACCCCAAAACCCAAAAAAATGGGCTTCTGGCCACTTCTGACTTGGTTCTTTTCAAATTTTTGTCATGTAGCTTCAGAGGCTATCAGGGCAGAAAATCGGCTTGCAGCCTGCCAAATGTCCTTAATCTTGGAAGAGCTGGGGACTGAAGTCAATGTAAACATAATTTTACTAACTGCAGAAAAGCCATTAGCATGAATTAATTATGCAAGTCAATTTTGACAAACTATAGATTTTCTTCAAAATGATAGAAAATGCATACATGACTAATACAGTGGCTTTAACTATCCTGGACTCTCCCCACCTGAGCCAGTAAACAGATCAATTGCTATAAAATGATTTTATTAGAGAAATTAAAGATTTAGTTTATGCTATAATAAAGCTGTTTCCATAGCAAGATTAGGATGTGCTGGGTACCCTAGTCATAAGGACAAATAAACTGGAAGTGCCAGACAGTGAAAGACTGTCACTATGTAAAATTATTTTTCACGAAAAGCCATTCAAAATCTTCAAAGGGACAATAAACTACAACAATATTGGAGAAGGCTTTGACTGTATCTATTAAAGAATGGATTTCTAACATAAAAACCATGAGCACTGATACTATATAGACCCATGTATTCAGTCTTCTTTCTCATGAGAATGACAGAGTCGCTCACATGGAAGTAGGGCAATGAGAATTTTAGTAAAAGGAGTGGATAAATATTTCATTTTATCATGGTTTTCCCAGGAAATAAACACAAGGTTAACTATTGCAGTCCAGGCCAGACTACAACCCTGGATGATAGTGGCATTCACTGAGCAGTATCTTTTGCAAAACATGGTGAATTTGGGAAAGACAAGCTATTACAGATTCAGGTATCAAGCAGTATCCACACTGAAATTAAACCGTAGTTTAAATACAGACATTTTATGAAGTATACAAAAATATGTACATGAATAGAATGACATGACTCCCCCAAAAGTGAGCTATTAGATAATAATTAAATTCTAGAGGATGATAACCTCAGGAGAAAGATGGGAGAAAAAAAGGCACATGCACAAAATGAATATTGTGTTCTCCTGCTGCAAATGCCATTACTAGGGATTTTAATGATGTTGGCATGCATAGCTTATATATGAGTACAATAATTGTTAAAGTATTGGGAGGCATAACAAAAAAAAATTATCCAGAACAAACACACACAATAATATCCAATAAAAAATATCCAAAACAAACACACACAATAAATCATGTTCTGCCAAGTTAAAAAAAATCTGGAAAGAAATGTAGCATTCTTAAGTGGCAATTATAAGAAAGAATGGTGAGGCATACAAACAGAATGCTTCAAAGGGCCTTAATGCATACAGAGAACAGCAATCAGGACAAAAGTAGTAAGATGTGTGGTAAAAAGATTAGCGAGAGCCCTGAAGCATCTGAATCATGAGATTCAAATTCAAATGATGTTTGTGTAACATTTATACAACTGTTTGGGGGGAGAACACCTGGCCCATAAAGATTCTTTGGCACCATATATAAGAGTTCAGTTCCACATGGACATGTTCTGTCAGTGCAGAATCTAAGACTAGGCACAAGGATTTTGCCATTATCAGTATATACACACCTAGTGGACTCATTCAGGGGTAGCAACAGCTCCCTTCTTAGTGAAGAACAGACCTTTCAAATGAAAGAAGAAAATCAATGGAACTGCTCACAGTTGCTGCTCTGCTGGTAAGATGATGACAGCAGAATCAGGACTCAACAGGGTATTTATACAAATCTAGGTACCTTTGTGCTGAATCTTCAGACTTAATGGCTGAAACCCGTTGTTTAGTACAGGAAGTCACAACTAGAGTAGGTCCATTGAATCAGTGGGGATTTGATGAGTCAACTCATCTGTATGTTCTCCTGAACCAGTTGGGCTGTTCTGGTTGTGATTTATTACACTAAGCAACAGGATTTCAGCTGAATATGTCAAGTGCAGCAGCTCCTATGAAGGGTGATGGGTTAACAGAATAAACTATGAATGAGCAAGTCCTTCATTTACTTGTCTTGTCACAAAGTCATTCAATGGTCCTGTCTATTCTCTCCACTACCAGAAGGAGTGCATATCAGTTGCATACCTCGACATACCAGTTGCTAGAAAGCATTAGTGGGAGGTTACTTTTGCTTTCATGTCCACTCATGAGCATTTCATGATCAACTTGTCTGGCCGTTGTGAGAACGGAATGCTGGACTGGAGAAACCATTGCTCTGATACTGCAGGACTTTCTGACCTTCTTAATATTTTAGTGGCCCAATACCTTCTTTGGGCCACGAAAGTATTAAGAAGAGGCAAACAGTTCTGTCCAGCAAGACTCTTTATTAGGCTAGGCATTGCAGAACCTGAGGAGGTGTGGTTAGAAACAGAATGGTCCAAAAATCATCCCAACCCTTAAGCTCCATAATGCCCAGCTTGATGAAGGGTCCTGCTGGCTTTTTCTTAATATTTTAGTGGCCCAATGAAGGTATTGTCCAACCTTGTTTTTGGAATTCATGTGAGGACCACACAGTCTTTTCCTCCCTTTTATTTATTCCTTTTTAATTATGATGGAAAATACCCAGAATTGTCACATAGGCCATGATCTGCAACCAGTGTGGGCAGGTCTCCCATCATATGTGAAGGACTGCTCCACTTGAAGACCCCATTTTCTTCCAATCAATAGGTAATGTTCTTAATTTGTCTCCAACTTACTTCTTTTGCTCAATGGGTCAGCTAAACTAAATTTCAAACACTTATGACAAAGGTGAATGTGGATCCTCTATTTCCAGCCAAGCAAGTGCTGCAGCACAAGGCAAATGAGACAGTAACAGGTTATTAGTCACTCTTTTTCTGTAGACATGGGAGAAAAGCACCAATTCATCCCACACTGCCTCAGGTGAAGCCATATACCTCAAGCTGATGCAACCATTTTGTAGTCTCCACATTGGGATGTTAACTCAGATCTGGATACTGCAACATCAGGGCAGGATGGTTTGGGGACTGTTCTACTTTTCCCCATACCCTCTCAAGCTCTGCAACACCCAGCATGACAAAGCACCCTGCTGAATTCAAAAGCTTACATGTTTTTAATATTTTAGTGGTTCAACATATCATACAGATCTTTCTAACTGCCGTGTAATAATGTCACAACAGCTATTATCAATAGAACAGAGCACTTGGGATAAAAAACATGAAATTACTTACATTGTAGACAAAGAGACAAGTGTACTGAAGGCTCCTGGTGTGATTGTAGTAATTCGATTGTCATACAGAGAAAGTAACCTTACTGAACTTAATCCTGTGAAGGTGTCATTATTCACACAACTGATCATGTTGCTCCTCAGCATCCTGAAAAGGTTTAAATCTAGAATTAGAGTTCTTATTTGAAATAGTAGAGGAAGAGGAAGAAGGAAAGTAATGTGTGAGTGAGTCAGCTGAAAAATAAAAAGGTGCTGGTTAAAAGTTCATCAATGAATAGCAATGGCTTTGGCAATTTAATACATGCTGGTTTGGAAAAATAGGTTTTGGAAACTCATAATCTGAACTTCCTCAAATAGCTGAGTACCACTTCATAGCTACATGCCATCAAGTTGACTCTGACCTATGATGACCCAGTTAAAATTCTCTCGATGTCAAGTACTCAGAAGTGTTTTGCCAGTCTCTTCTTCTGGTGGTGCTCTGGCAACATAAAGCTTGCCTAAAACCACACAGATGACAGACCATGTATTTCTATTTCAGTCCGAGGGCAAAACACTTATCTAAACCATTCACAGTGTGATGCAGAACTGTGTTGCTTCTCCTCGGTGATATCACAAGCACTATCCACTAGTGCTCTGTGGTGTGTAGAACAGCGGTGGATAATTTAGCCAAGGCGGCAGTCTCATTTCACAGCACAGAAGCATTTTCATACAGATTAAGAGCTAGGAAAATGTAGCTTCAGTGCAACAGAAACCTTAGCATACAGGAAACTAAACTGTATGCATTGCAACCCAGGAGTGTACAACCGTAGTGTACATTTATTGCACAGAAAAATTGTTATAAGTAAATGCCACCAACTTTTACTTTCTCATAAGTGTTTAAAAGTGGCAAAATTAACTTTAATGTGATAAAATGTGTATTCTTAATCCATAATTTAAGGAATATCTCGGTTGTGTAGAGGGATGAAGTGTGTGTGGAGAAAGGTATTCAGGGCAGTTAGACGACCATAACTAATTCAAGCAAATATCACAGAGGCAGTCAGAGCATGGTAGATCAGTGACTTTACAGAGATTTTATGGATACGTTAAGTATTAAGATCCCTGCCTTGTTCCTAATTAGACTCTTGACAAAGTTAGCAGTTGATTCACTGTTTCTATGATCAAACACCTATCAGATATGCTTCCTATTGTCTTCACCTGATCTAAGAGGCAAATGACACAAGTTTTTCTTACCTTCACATTTCGCAAATCAGAATGCTTTATTTTGTGGTTGGTCCTCAGGAAGTGAACACGGGCTTAATAGCAAGTGTACAGGCGTGAAGCTCTGGGGAATCTTTGTCACTGAGGTGGAGGCACAGTGCTAACAGCTTTTAATTCTAATCATAAACTATCTCATGTATTTTGCTTAAAAACTAGGGGTTTTTATACTTACAGTGTCTTGAGTCCTGTGAGACCTCTAAACATTCGCCCATGCACAGATTCCAACTGATTCCCAGTCAACATCAGTTCTTGCACTCCTGTTGCCCCATCAAAAGTGCCTTCACGGATCTCTTTGATCTTGTTGTTACTCAGGTTTCTGAAATGGAAAACAAACTTGACATTAGACAGGCAATATTATTGAATAAGACTAAATTCTTCCCAGAACACAAATGTAGGAATGTTTATACTGGACAGTGAAGCTGCAAACAATAGTTGTAACAGAGATTTTAAAAAGATAGAGTTGAGATACTTCCTGCTCCCCAAATTGTCCTATTTTCAATTCTTTTTGCTGTTTCCAGTATTTAAAAGGTATCTGTTGTTTTAAAATTGAGAATGGTGTAACAGTGTAGGATAAGCCCTCTGTACTTTGCCATTTTTATGAGCACATCAGCTTATAACTCCAAGGGCATGCCAGCATAATCCTGTAACTGGCACCATGTTGGCACAGTTACTAAGTTGTTCCCAACCTAAGTATCTGCTTTTCTTTAAATTAGGTCAGAGTGGGAAGTTATATGTCTTCCTGACCATTTTTGTTTCTGGCACGAACCCTGAGGAAGCAAAGGAAGAACTCAAAATAAAAAAAGATTCTGAACATTTTTTTTGAACAGAAGAATTAAACCTGGGGTGTGTAAAATTCTCCTCATACAATGGGTGCCTTCCATCTTGTTTTGGCAGATAATTCTTTTCTTTTCTTTTTTAACTCAGAAATTATTCCTGCCTTCATGGGGAGGAAGTACTGTAGCCCCTAAGATCCCACAAAATAGGTTGTGCACTAAAACTTGGTCATCTGTTTATAAAACCATGTCCTTGTTTTTTAACTATTTAAAAAAAAATGTAGTATCTACTGTTTGATTGCAAATTTTTAAAAAGTCTATAATATCCAATAACAGCAATCTCAAATTCTTCAAGTTCCAGTCAACTTAGAATCTTATTTGTTATATTTCAATTTAATGTTTATTATACTGTGCTTAAATTTGTTCTCATTTTGCAGAGCAGCCTAGTGTTGTCCCAGTCATTCTACACAGAAGCAAATCATTTTGCATTCCCTAAACTGAGAATTCAGTAGTACTGAGAATGTATGTAGTCGGCATTAAGGAGGAGGAGAGGAGGAAGAAGAAGAAAGAGGAGGAGGAGGAACAAAGAATTAAAATATTGAAAAGCTGTCAACCACCCTTGTCTTGTTAACCTCGACGGCATTAAGGTAGGATTTTTGGTGTTTTCAGATGGGCTAAGCTATACTATATTTTGTGGGAATCTAATGATAAATGTTATATAACTGTACTAAAGCGGTGAAAAACCCCAAGTGTTCAAAAGCAAATGTCAGAAAATAAAACAGAGCTCTAGCTGCAGATTAAGGATCTTAAGAGGTGGGAAGATGACATAGAATTAGAAACAAGAAATAAAAACGGAGGTGAGATAGTCAAGGGATAAAAATTTGAGAGAAGAAATACATCCTCAGTTGTTGCTTAAAAATAAACAGATTTCACCCAACCACAAAACTGGTTATATTTTGAATACTATTGCAAAAGATTCAAGGCAAATATGCCTGGTTTATGTGTAACATAAAGTCTATTCTCTGCAATCATCACAACCGTGTGGAAGTAATTTTGGAGACTGGGGTTAGGGTTAGGCTGTGCATGAGTAACTGGTAGTCTGGTTTCTGTTTCTTGAATAGCGAGACAGCCTGGCTGAGCAGCTTGTGACCCATCACCTCTCTTGAAGTCTGAGTCAACAAAAGAAGGAGGCAGCAGCCACAAGAAAATCCAAAAACAATCACAATAATGTATATGTTTTCTCTTTTTCTGGCCTCTTAGTGTAGCTCCATGCATTTTACTTCACTCCATAATATGAAGATTAGACTTTATGTTTCACGTCAGGAACAGTTTAGATACAGTGTAACGACAGATGAATTCAATCTGGTGTTGAGATATTGTCTGATGAAAACATTAGTTAAGCATTTCTTCTTGAACTCGCGGATGACACAAGTATTCCACTTCCCCCTTTTTAATGGCAGTGTCTTTCTGTCTTGTGATCAGAGCCACTGAGGGTCACTTACTCGTTATACTTTTAAAAGAATCAAGCATTCTTGTGAACCACATCCGTATCAGAGGACACAAGCAAAAACACAGTCGAAAATGTCTTGTCATGTTTGTGGATTAGCATGAGAGGCTCTTCTCCTCCTTCCATTTTTACATCATCTCTCTGCAATGGCCAAAGAGATGCAAAGAATTTCTGAGACCTCCAGAGCAGACTGGAAGGCCCACTGAGGGGAAGGAAACCAGCCCCTCTCTGTTCTTCTGCAGGAAGACCTTCAATCCAATCAAACTGGATGGTTAATAAGGGTGGAGGAGGTAATTCCACCACTCTTTTTGTTCCATCTGTGCTGTTTTAACACTAGCACGGAACTTCCTTCAAAACCAGAAGTGAGTGGAAGTCACTTTGGGGGGCAGGGAAGTACCCAGGGCCCAAAACAACTTGGGGAAGAGGAAGCTCAGAAACCCCATGAACTAGACGATGGAATGCAGTTTTTCCTAGGTGATGCTGTTGCTGCTGTTGCTGTTGCTGCCATTATGGCTAGGGGCTTTTGGATAATCAGGGACCATATATGTGCCCCTAGGATGGCTGCATGTACACCTCATTTTGCCTACTCTTATTTTACAGTCTGAATCATGAGAAAGTGCCTGTGCTTTAAAATGTAGAGGGACAACTTTTAGTTTATTCATATCTTCTGGATCAACAAAGATATATCAACCCAACAAAATGGCAGGAGGAAAAAGAGCATATGTGAGTCCTGTTCCCTGAAATCAAGTGCTACAAGAGAAGGTATTATGATGCAGCACCTCAACATTATCAGCAGTTGGGCACACAGTATGAGAAACACAGTGAATAAAGGAAACAGAGGCTGTTACATGATGAGAAAGAATACGAGTACGGGGACATGCACTAGGAGAATATCTCTGACTTAGGGGTCAGTTTTTGCGCATTTCCGTTAGGGAAATCAGTTTTGTGTGTGCAGAAGAGACTTTCCACCAGGACACCTTGGGTTACAAAGTCACCTTCATGGCTTTGCAGCTATTGCTGTTAGCCTGTAGCACCAATGGAAAACACTCAGCTGTTTCAAGCTGGTGATATGCATACCAATGCTGACATGTTGAATCTAGTCCCAGCTGGCTGTAGATGCACTAGGACACTCAAGAGCTGATACAGAGTGAATGCAGAATTTCATGGATGCTTTTCATACCAAACAGAGAAACGTTTCTCATGTCTGCCAGAGGCTGAGATAATTAACTACACAGTACTAACAAATTAATATTTGATTCAGGATGAGATCAGGTGATAAACACTATTACTCAAGCAGAAACACTTGATTAGATGGAACATGTTCACACAAATATATCTGTTTCATGGCAAGGAGTACAATCATGTTCAAAATTGTCAATGACACTAAATGCCCTACATTTTGCCAACGTTTTACAGAAGCAGTGCTATGGCAGGCTTTCATAAGCACATGAAATGTTTCCCATATGCAAATCAGCTTTGCACGATGATATTCAGAGAATCTTTTCCTCCTAAATACATGCTGTTCACATTCATTAGAGGCAAGCATTAAATGGCTTTTCAGTATTCATGATGAACTATCATGTAGATTTCTACCAAGGGACTTCTTAAGAGCAGGCACAGTTGACCCTGAAATCAATTGTGTCAATGAATCCTTTGGGACCACTTAAACACAAGACTTATTGACAGAACAGACAAAGGCTCCAAGAGAAAGCTACCCCCATGTGCTGTTATTGCATACCAATAATGTTTTAAGGTGTCTTATTGAATAGGCATCGATTTGGCTTCTTTGCTACAGTGGACAGAGAAAACAAGGAGAACAGCTGAAGTTTAATTTTCACAGACAGGTCTAAATTAGTATGTTGCCATAGAAAAGACTGTAGGTGGAGAAGACTACTTTCAGGAACAACAGAAGGTGTCAGAAACTGCATGCAATGGAATGCAGTCTGTATTGGATTTCACTGTTTTTGCTGAATTTTATTGAATTTCTGTGCTTTACTTTGTAAACCACTCTGACCACATTGTTAAGAAAGGCTAATAAATGATTTTGCCTTCCACTTTTAAAAAGCTTGATAAATATTGATGACAACCAACCCCCACCCAACTTGTGTGTGCCTTAGAAACCCTATAGATTTATTGCTCCCAGAAAACTTCCCCTTTCATATGCAAGGTAAAAGAGAAAAAAAGGAATGCACTGCACTGTGGGCATTTTACAAGATCTGTGGAATGATTTCTTGGAACTCTGCATTTAATAAGTCAAAACAACAACAGCAATGTGTCTGGGGCATTAGATTCTAATTTGCAAAATGGAATTCAAAATTCCAGATGAGATGAGGGTGGCAGGAACAAAGCTAATCCACAAATTTTAGGGGGGAAAAACACATAGTAAACAGGGAAGTCCTTTCCAGTCAAATCTGGCTGTTAACACTGCAATGCAGAACAGAAAATATCCTTTTAAAAATGGGGGCAAATCCCAGCATACTAAGAATTATAAAAAAATAATTTCAGATAACAAAGGGGAAAAAAGATACGAGAGAGAGAAAGCTTTCTGTAAGAGTGTATAAAGAATCTTAGTTCTTTGTGAGACTATATGGAAAATCAGAATGAGCCAACTTTTATGATGAACTGCAAGGCACTGTTACCTCTTGCTGCGACAACCCAGACATCTGAACTGCACCTGTATGATTAGATCCTCATCTTCTGCCAAGAATCGGGCACAGATGATTTACAGCTTCATAGAGACATAAAACGCTAAAAGGATATATGGCTGTTCCACACTATACTTATGGAAAAACATTGTACTTATGGAAAAACATAGTCCTTACACATTCACATGCAAAAAGGAGTACACAGGCATGACCTGATTGTTAAAATTTCTCATGAAATAAATGAGGGACTTAATTAACAAATATGTTTCCATGAACTAGAGTTGTAAAGGTTTATTTGACTTAGATTTTTCCACTCAATATTTCTGAAACCCAATTTGGAGTGTTTTGACTTATTCTGGGCATCATGTACAGAAGTGCAGATTTATGGAGTATGTAAGTCACTCTCTTACTCTGGAGAACAGGTTCTGCTAAACACCATCAGCATACTTGCTGGACTAGAATTGAGAAAAGGGATTTAAGCCAGACTTGGGAGCAAAACCTTCCATAGGCAGAACGGAATAGTGTGCTCCAGATGTTTAGTTATTTGTGGACATGCGGAAGGAGGAAAAAATGATTTCAGTACTTAAATATACCAGCAATATGGACTCCTACCCATTTAACTTAGGCAGCCGGTATAGCGAACTCAATAGTAGTAGATTCTGGATTGGTTCCATATGTGAATATAGCCCAGGAAGCTCAAATAGGAGATTACAAAATCCAACCTGCTCTTATCACAGGCCTTAACAAAAATCTAACTCATGAAACAGATACTTTTCCACAATCCAGGCAACAAACTGGGTGAGACCTAGTCTAGGGACTAAATCACATGTTCAAATAATGGGGTGGTATACAAATGTAAGAAATAAAATAAAATAAAATAAATATTTCAGTAGAGAAAGATATAATATATGTTTAGGGAACAGAGCGTATGCCATATTGCACAGGCATTCTTTTCATTATAAGAAATCGTAATAAGAAAAGTGAATCAACAGTTGAAAAGAACAGAAGCTACCCAATCAAACATATAGCAGAGAGAGAGAGAGAGAGAGAGAGAGAGTAGAAGTAGGCAATCTGAAGCCTAGAAACAAATGTATAGGCCAAATAAAAAGCTTCCTGATAAAAACTGCATTCAAAATTTTAAGTCAAGTTGCAATCGTAATGGAACAGTGGAAATATAAATGATGAGGTCAATGACCATGATAAAGACGATGATGATGATGATGCTATCGTACCAAAGGCTTTCAAGGCAATGCACAAGAGGAAAATTCACATAAAAAAGGATAAAAGCTGAAATTCAGTAGTAAATCACAACTAAAGGTATGATGGAGCAAGGGAGTCTTTACTAAATCATCTGAAGAGGAAACAGAGAAAGTCAATCTGGCCTCCTTAAGCAGGGAGTTCCATAATCAGGATGTTGCTATGGAAATGGGCTCCGTCCTCAGTACGTTTTAACCTTGCTTCTTGTTTTGAAGACACCTTGAATCTATATTGTTGTGACACTTGATATGTCATCAAGTCAGAACCGACTTACAGCCATCCAAATAGTGCTTTCAAGGTAACCGAGATATTCAAGGAGGGGTTTTATGCCTTCAGTGAGCTTTCCTGCTGAGAGGGGATTTGAACACAGACCCTTGAGTTCTAGTCTGTCACTGTATCCTCTGCACCATGCTGGGCATTAGGATCTACATTAGCCATTTCCCACATAATCTACTTAAAAACTGTTTCCAAAATTAAGCCTGGACGCAGAATACAAACCATTCAGATTTTAACAACAACAACAAACTTGTAATTATTAAAAGTTTGTCATTTATTCAGTTCCTATTAGAAGCTCAAGTAGTTCCCATTTTTTGGATAAGGAATAATTGGGTCTTCTCTGTGGAACTTGCATTAGGAAGTATATAACAGCACACTGTCAACTAGATTATCTGTGTATTTATTTGGAAGTAAGCAAGGATTTAATGCTATTTAAAACTGCAGCCTTTTTCTGTTTCATATATTGATTCATTGTTTCTCTATTAACAATTAAAAAGAAACTTACATTTTCCTTAGGCTTGGGAGCTTCTTGAAAATTCCAGTAGCTTCCAGAATGGAAATGTCATTATCATGTAATCGCCTAATGAGAAACAAAAGTAAAGGATGAAAAACAGCCTAGACTTCATGTATGTCAACATATACATTTGGGTCACATGTCTTAACGACAATAACAAAACTATAATCAGTAAAATGTGATGATTGGTGCACTGAGCTGAGATGCAGATTCCAGCTCCATCATACCTACAATGTTCACTAGATTATCTTGTGCTAGACATTTTTCCCCATCTAACCTACTTCAAAGTGTTGTTTTGAAGAGCATTTGGGAGCTAAAACTATGTAAACTGCCTTGAGCAACTTGAAGGAAAGAAAAGATATAAAGGTAATTATATATATAGTTACCTTTATATCTTTTCTTTCCTCCAAGTTGCTCATACATATATATGCTCATGCCTAACATTCTTGATAAACACTTTGTGATTATTTTGTTTGTGAAATAACTCATTAATTTAATTGTCTTTTCCAGAGTTTCTTTGTTCCCATTATGTGGACGTTCCTCATATAAATTACTGTTCTGAATAAAAAGAAAAATATGCAATTGAATCAATGATTATTAAAAACTCAATTATTTTATGTATTTTATTTCTATTCTCCCTTTGTCTCAAAAAGGCTAAATAAAAACATAAGCTACTGAATTGAATACACATCACATTGTCCAATACAGAAAGTTGTACATTTACCTCAGAGCTGCTGTCAGCATTTGGCATTATGGAGCTGGTGCAAAGGTCCCCACCAGCTGGAATTACCTACCAACTACCTCTGGGCCTTCCCCCACTCTTGTAGGGTACAACTACCATTTGCTCATTCCATTTGCCCTTTTAATCTTTATTACTGTATGGGGGTAATGGTAAGTTCTAACTGCAGTCCTCAGGCACCCAACATTGCTTGGAGTATTGCTTCTGAACAACTTCTGCCAATTAAGCTCAGCAGGTTTCACTGACAGAGGTTCACTGCTAGAGAGCACTTTGTCAAGGACCACCAGAAAATCTGGAGCTAACCCTGATTTAAAGCAATAGTGGGCAACTTTGCTGTGCCCCGGGGTCAAACTCCCCACTCTGCTGTTATTCACATCATCCCTCTTAGTGAAAGTGGGACTGACTGAAAGTCCATTTCCAATTTCAACGATCAGGTAATTTTTTTAAAAAAAGAAGGTGCATTCTGTATTTTAAAAGGAAAAACAGACCTCCTGAAGTTTTCAAGGACTGCAAAGCAAGGGTACATGATGGCGACAAACATCAGGCTACAATATGGTTTTGTATTGGAAGAACAGCACAGTATTCCCTTGATATTTCTGATGACATTTAAACGTTACCAGGAAAATAAAGGGAAACCATATAATTATTTAGGTGATCATTGTATATCACTCTTGTCAGAAGGTCCATACTTACAAGTCTGTGGTATACTCTGGGAGGTGACTGGGAAGTCGTGTGATCTTCTGGTTAGAACAGTCTACGATGGTTCCCTCGCAGCGGCATTTTTCAGGACAGACAAGATCCATGAAGCAGTCTCCACTGAACTTACTCCTGTAGTCCTCTGAACCTGCAAAGTTGAAATGTTACCAGATAAATACTTACACAATAAAATGGCCACCATAGATGGAAGATGGAAAAGAGAGTACTTCTATTTAAAATAGCAACTCAGATTCATCTGAAAATTACATTATTCCTGAAAGTGTCTAGAGCAATTTGCTTCAACATATTTCTAGAAAATGGGGACCAGTCCTGTTTCTTGCAATTCTCATCCAGTGCCTTTTCCCCTTTGGACAAAATTTTCTTCAATTTAAAACTCACTAAATGGCAAATGGCATGTTACTACAGGTAGAGGCAAAAACTTGAGGTAGTCAATCAACATCAACATCTTCTCTCTCCCTCTGTAGGAATGATTAAAACCGATGAGCCTGCTTTGCAAAGATAAATATTTTAATAAACATGAGAACAGGGTGAAGGGGGAAAAGCATGAGTTGAAATAGTTTCCATTTAATCAGAAGAGGGACTGTCTACATTTTGCAAAAATTACAATTCAGCATGCCATTATATTACAACTGTCAGTTTGCTTTTGATTTGTTTTAATTTAATGCCTAACCAGTTTATACTCAACAAACCAATCTTTCCAGCTGTAAAAAAGAAAGAAAGAAAGAAAAGAAAGAAAAGAATTAACAAGGGGCTTAAACGTGATCCTTGCATTCGTGGCAGCCAAAGTATTAATGGATATGTAATCAAAGTTTTGCCAGCATACATCCAGTCAAGCAAGAGTTGCCCATTTACTTCATAGTTCATTATGGGAACAACTAAATATTCCTCTGAAATCATGTTATATCCAACCAACCTAACGAACCTAAGTGTTCTTAACTTTTCCAGGACTTCATAAGTCAGCTGTAATTGCAACATCTATTTGTCAATGCCAGATTCATTTATCTGAGAAACACTACCTATTTAGAAAGGACATTATGAGGAGGCAAAGAACTGGGAGGGAGAGTCCTTCAATTAACCTGCAAGAAGACTCTGAAAAGGTCCTCAATAACAAGTTCGCATTTATACAGAGAGGCTTGAATTCATTTTGCCACTCCTGATATAGTTTGAGAACACTAGTACTTTCTATTGCTATAACCTCAAGAAGTACATGACATGCACATGTATACAAAATCTGCAACACTCACAACACTCATTCTGGTGCTTACTGCAATAAATTGCATTACAGCAGGCTCATCAATCATGAGGATTCAGTGAGACAAATCTTACATAATGTCCATTTATTCAAATGAGGATACACCAACTATAACCTACTTTGCTACACTGAGCAAAATCCAGTTGCTCAGTGTAATAAATTGCAATAGAGTTGGCACCATAGAACCAAGGAGATTTGGTGAGTCAGTTCCTCCGTATGTTCCATTGATTCAGATGGGCCTGAATCAATGGAAGTAAGCAAGTAAATTACCGTTAGAGTAGACCCATCTGAATCAATGAAACATGGAGTAGCTGACTCACCAAATCCTCATTCATTCAAGGGGGAGGCTACTCTATTGCAATTTACTATAGTGAGCAACAGGATTCTGGCTACTATGCTCCATGCAAGCATTGCAGATGAAACCATAAAATGTCTGTCCTTCAGAGGGTCATGTGTTCAGCAGCAGCTATCTGGATCTCTCTGAAAGAACTGTCCAACACTCATATTACATTGACTATAAGTTAATTTCCAGTAACAATTTAACACGCTGATAATAACTGTTAAAGGCCTAAATTTCTTGGCAGAAATCATTTAAAGGAACTTTTTCCTCTCTGATTATTACAACTTCCAGAATACACAAGGTTATAATATAGTTTGGCTTCCTACTGGCTGTTTTGTCTACCAAACTGTTTAATTTCAATCTGCAATTTGGTTGATATGTGGAATGCCATATAATTCACTTCTCCTCCTCCAATACAGGAGCCATGTACTTTGATCAAAAGCCAATGAACTGACAGTTTTCTGAGTGCCTGCAAGCCATTTGTTTCTAGAAATGATGACACACAACTGATTTTACACTCATGGAGGTGTCACCTGATAATACCACATCTCCAGCTGCATTGTTTTGCTTACAGTTTCCATTTTGGAGAATAAGTACCTACTGCTCCCATGGCTTATAGCATCTGGCAAGAATGAATGCTGAACTTTTCTGCTTCTCCCTCCTCCTTCCCAAGCTTTGCCACATCCAGCCTAGTGAAGAATTCTCTTGGCCCCAAAAAACTTGCCTTTTTCTTTTAAAGAAATAAAGGTATTATCCAACTTTGCTCTTCTTGTTTCTCCTGTCCTTTCCAGCAATTTACAACGGACTTAGAGAACTGTTGTGTGGCAAAGACGGTCTTTTAAACAGTTGCATCGCCCCACTGCTACTGCAGACAAATAGCTTGCTCTCCTTGATGGTTATTCAAAGGAAAAGCATTTTCATGTTCGAATTATAATGGAATCATAAAAGAGAAATTAAAACAAGGTTGTAATTCTGACCATTCTCCTGTGAAATTTAATTCCATTAAAATCAATAGGACGTGCTTCAGAGAAAATGTTTAGGATGAGAAGTTTAATATGAAATAAACCATTATTTCTCTTTTAGATTTTTTTTATCAATGGAGGCAAAGTCCCCCTTCAAATAAATGCTCTCTGGCCCCTTCCCTTGTTTTCCACAGTTATATGGAAAGTTTATTTGGTAATTTTGAACTGTTACGATTGAGTATAATGGCCAAAATCTATCAGGAGAAAAATGGTTTGAGAAAAGATAACGTGTAGAAATTTTTCTTCTGTAGACTCCCCTTTGTACAGTCGGGCATAAGGCTGGTAAAGTGCCCTATTTGACTTTCATTGGGCCACCCTTTTTGCTGTGTGCAGGAGAACCCTCTGGGCGGTGCCTTGTTTGTATATTTCTATTACTCTTTGCAACTTACACTCTTATACGTTACACTTATTCTTGTTTATATCTAAGTAATATATGTTTGTAAGACATTGGACTGAAATCCCTATGATTCTTTTCATTTTGAAGAAACAACAAACTGTGAATACTCATCAGCAATATTTCCTTCTTATAGAAGTTTGAGTACTTCTTATAGGAGTTTGAGTAAGATGGCAGCCACTTCAAAACACCTTTGGATGAATCTGGTGCTATGTAGGAACAGAACACACCTTTGGACTTGTCCTTTGCCCAACACCTCAGGTAAAATCAGCAACCTCTACAGAAGTCTGAGCTTCAGTTGAAGAAGTTATGAGAAATGAGTTTAAACCAAAGCTAAGCTGCATACTTGCTGAATCAGCTCAAGCAATTATTTCAGTGCTTTAGTGAGTAGCGATAATTAAGAAACAGCACAACAAAATGAAGATAAAACAAAACTCTGTCTTTCCCTTTCCTTATTGTATTTTGAAATCTCTTGTTTCCTAATAAATAACACCATGGGGGCAATAACAAATATGACACAAGAGATCATAAGGGAACACAAGGCACTGCATTTTCCCATGAAATGTATCACTAGCATAGCAAATGCCAAGAATGGAAAATAAAACAGATCCACCCAGAAGAAAACAATACACTCTCTTTCTTCCTCATATTTAGCAAATGTGGGCCCAGAGCCAAATTAGATGAGGCAGGAGAGACTTGAATTCATTTTACTACTCTTGTGTCTGTCCCATTTATGAATATAATAGGAGATGGAGATTTTTGTTTTCACATGAAAAACAATGCATTGGCATAGAAAACCTTTATCTGCCTGACCCCACAGAGTTTTGTTGCTTCAAGCAGCTTTCTACCAACAAGCTTCGATATGGGAAGTAAGCCAGGCTGAGAGGCTGAGGGAGGGGGGAAGTGCTTCAAGCAATGGACAGGAGAGGACAACTGTTTGTTTAAAAAGCAAACCATTCACCCTCATCCTCTTAGATTGTATCTATGAATGAGATAGGCATAAAAACGAATCCATGTGGTTGCGCTATCAAATCTGCTTTGTTCCTTGGAAACAGACATGCTAATGATCACAGAGCAAAGCATGTAAAGCACTCAATTTTGCACCAAATACTTGCTTGTCCATTGAATTTCACTTTCAATATATAGGCTTGAAGCCAAAGAACCTCACAAATACGGTACAGTAGTTCCTACGCAGAAAGCTTTACGCTTGTGTTTGTCATACCATTCTCCTTGTACCTCCGCGCTACTTTTATTCTGAGCATATTATCTTGAGCACACCACATCTCACCTGATTTTGAGAGTTAAACAAGGTTGGCCCCTGAGTTAGTATTTAGATAGGAGACCACCGAAGAATATTGGGCATCTCTGGACAAGGTACAGAAAATCTTGCCTGAAACCTTGGAGAGCTTCTGCCAGTCAGAGCTGACAAACCTGGACCAGATGGATCAAGGTATAAAGTATAAAGCAGCTTCCTATGTTCCTACACTCTTACATTGCAAATATCTCAGGGTACTATGAAGCGTTTCAAAAGTAGATGAAGTACTGCCAATGGTTGTGTATTTCATTGTTTTATGAAGTCTTTGTTATATTTTTATCTTTTCATTTAAACTATACTGATGTATTTCGAACTGAATTTTTATTATACTCTTTTATTAAAACAGTTTGCTTCTCAGCCTGACTGAGAACGGGTACATCATGCAAAGGACTTCACAGACATTCACAGTCCTTGGATACACTTGAGCAGCACTTTGGATCCCACCCACAATTCTGTGGAAACTTTTTCTATTTATTTATTTATTTATTTAAAGTATCTGTTTATCGCTTTTCTCATTAGCAGGGCTCCCAAGGCAATTCACATTTTGAAAAGTTTCACAAAAGTAGTATAACATTACCACCACCAGCCAGCAGGTCAATTCTGAATTATGGTAACCCTTCCCAGGGTTTTCTACGTATAGAACACTTGGGCATGTTTTATTCTTACCTTCTTCTAGCAGAGTCCTGGTAGCTTGCCTAAGGCTACATAGGCTGGCTCTTTCCCTACAATGCAGAGTGCGAAATCAAATTCTTGATCCCTGGCTCCAATGCCAATTATTCTATCTCACTGAACTACATTTAGGCT